GGTACAGGTCTCTTCTTTTTTCATTCGAGATTTGTTTCTTTGTTTCACCATTTTGGCTATCTTAGTGGATTTTGGAGTCTGCCAAATTTTTTTCTGTAGGTGTTGGTGTTATGCTGTTTGTGGCTCCTTCTGCTGGGTTTGGATGAGTGTGGGAGGACCCACTTTAAACACCACTACTGTCAAGTCTTACTTTCCTTGGTAGAGTTCCAAGACCAGGAATGGTTCTGCTATTCTTTAGCTTTTTGCCTGGAAGCTACTTGTCATGGTAACTTGAAGATCTGTTGGGTTCTCAGTTGAATAAAAAACTCCCTGAGGTTTTCAGAGTAAAGGTATTTCCAGAGGGTGTAGCAGATGGTTGTTGATAATGAGCCTCAATTTTCATTTCAGTGGCCCACCTGGATGTGGTTCAATCTCTGAGGGAGGGAACACTGCCTCTCCTCAGAGCCCTCAGAAAGAATAAGATGGCCACAGTCTTCTGTGGCTGCAACTCAGCAAAAGTTCTGAGCACCCTCCAAATTCTGAATGTTTCAAAACAGTTCCAGTGCAATATGCCCTCCCTCTGCCAGAGCCCAAGTTGAGGAGCTATGGCTATTTTAGTGCTCTGTCCCGGCTCTCTGCACTGTGGATCAGGCTTGGGAGCTTAACCCTGAGGGCACTGCTCACAGCTAAGACCACTGCTGTCCTTGGGCTCCCAGCCCCACTCTCACACCTTTGCAATTCCACCAGGATCGATTCGGTGTCCCTGGTTATGTGGTCCTCGCAAACTGCTTTTCTGTTGCTTCTTCCCAACGATTTGTCTTTGTTTTAGTTTTAATTCCAGTTTGGTCCTGGGAGATGGTCTGTTTAGCTTCTATTCACCCCGCCACCAATTTGAAATCCCAGGAGTCTAGATCTTGTTGATTATTGTTTGTTTTTATCAGTGATTTAACTTTGTTGATTTTAAAATAAAATATTTACCCTGCATTTTTCAGGGTAAGAAATCTATGACAATTTTTATTAACCCTAATATAGATCTTGTCATCTATATTAAATAAGTCTAGTTCAGAGATTTCATTATAGTTTTTCTATACAATTTGCCATTTCTGCCACTGATCTCCCCTTTAAAAATGTTCTATCACTATCTAGTTCCTGGAATAATTTGAAATTACGTACTCTTTCAGCCAATAATCTGTATATTGCAAAATGAGATTTAACTTTCCACCTATTACCAATTGATATTTGCCTTAAAAAAAATCATAAGACTAGGAAAATCCTTCAGTATTGTTCCCTCCTTCCACATGTCTATTTGTCTGTACACCATAGACTCTGACTGCCTTTCTCACACTCTGGTGCCTCCAGGTTTAGTTCTCTCTCTCTGTCTCTCTCTCACACACACACATACACACACACACTTCCTCACCTGATCTGAGGATGTTGACATGCTCCACATTCCAGCACATTATGTTCTGGGTTGCAGGGAAAATGAATCCTCCTCTGGGCTTTGTGTTTTCAGGTCAGACAGGACATTTCTTGCGTATAGAAGAACAAGATTAAATATCTTTTATTTTGGGCTATGTGTAGTTAATATTTTTTATTTGAGAAATCCTTGGGGCAAAGTAAAAGTTAATGTTGTTAAAGCATGATAGTGGAGATACAGTAAACGCAAATCCCAGTGAGCCTTAGGAAGAAAACAGAAGATATGAGAAATTGTTGGTTTAAATTTCAAAGGAGAATCATAGATATGTGCATAATACCAGAAGAAGAGCTGAATTTCATTATGTGACAGAGAAATTTGTTATAATTAGGAATAGTTTATAGGAAGCATGATTTATCACCTAGATGCTCAATTCAGTTAAAATTATATGTACAGTGATATATCTTTATATCTACGTATCACTCTTTCAGTGCAACACATTCTAATAGATATGAGGCATAAGTAACAAATGAAACTGGCAGTTGTAGGTGCAAGGTGGGTTGTGCAGGAGATCACTAATGACAGCACAAGGCTAGGCTCCCCACTACAGTCTTCATATTGCCTTCTAATCATGTGTTTTCATTTTCTAACCCCAGGTACACTAACTGAGTTATGACCTTTAGGAGTAATCCTTATTCCTGACTTGGAAAACGTGGGACTAGTAAATCCCAAAAAATCCTTGCAAGAAAGCCCTAGAGAAGGAGCTTCTGGAGTCTCCCTGTGCCACAGCCCAGGCTTCTGGACCAGTTCTGCACAGACTAGTAGAGAAGAGAGCTATGCCTGGCTCTGCTCAGGAACAAAAGGAGAGAGTTTGGAAAAGAAAGCAGAAAGTCACAGAGTACTTTGAAGTTTTGTAATCTAACACCTATAAGTATAATGATGTAGGATTTCATCATGTCTGGTCTCATGAATTCCTAGTGCTCTGTCTTCTCTGGGTTTGTGAGCCTTAACAGTGTGACAATGACCATGCTCTGGAGCTTCTTTTGTATTTACTAGTCCCAAATGTTTTCCAAGTTCAAACCCAAAGATGTACTGCAGTTCCTGAAAAATCACTAAGCTTGCTCATCTTATTCTTGGTCCATGTCTCACCCAGAAACAGAGGTCACCTGAGAGATCAGAAACAGCAGAAGCACATAGGAAGAATGTCCATACATTTGATATAACATAATGAGATGCTTGTTGGTGTTAATCGCCTGAAAAGATACCACAAGAAGTGTCATGACAACAAGATCCTTAGATTCATGAGAAAGAGAGTTAAAGTAGGGAAGAAGTGGTGTGTCTTTATTTACTTCTTCCTCATTTAAAGACATAGCTTTCTCCAGGAATGAGCTGCACCTCAGCCTGAATCACTCAGTTAAAACTTATTTTTCTCTTTCTTTCTTCTTTTATAATGTAAGTTTTTATTGATTTTTCAGAGAGAGGAAGGGAGATACAGGAACACTTATGAGAGAAATATTCAAAGATCAGCTGCCTCCTGCTCACCCCTCACTGGGAGTCGGCCCACCACCTGGGCCTGTGCTTTGACCTAAAATCCATCCAGTGACTTCTTGGTGCATGGGGATGATGCTCAACCAACTGAGCCACACCATCTGGGCTGGGCCGTCCTTCCTTCCTTCCTTCCTTCCTTCCTTCCTTCCTTCCTTCCTTCCTTCCTTCCTTCCTCTTTCTTCTTCCATCCTTCCTTCCTTTCTTTCTTTTTCTCTTTCTTTCTTTCTTTCTTTCTTTCTTTCTTTCTTTCTTTCTTTCTTTCTTTTTCTCTTTCTTTCTTTTTCTCTTTCTTTCTTTTTCTCTTTCTTTCTTTTTCTCTTTCTTTCTTTCTTTCTTTCTTTCTTTCTTTCTTTCTTTCTTTCTTTCTTTCTTTCTTTCTTTCCCCTCCCTCCTTCCCTCCCTCCCTTCCTTCCTTCTTCCCTCCCTTCCTTCCTTCCTTCCTTCCTTCCTTCCTTCCTTCCTTCCTTCCTTCCTTCCTTCCTTCCTTCCTTCCTTCCTTCCTTTTTCCCTCTCTCTCCCACTCACCCTCCCTCCCTCTCTCTTTTTTTCTTTCTCTCTCTTCCTCCCTCCTTCCCTCCTTTTCTCCCCCCCCTTCTCTCTTTTTTTCATTTTATATTGCTTCTCCTTATCAGACCCGCTATTACTAAATTAAGGATGACATTGTGCATTCCCACCTGTGCAACATTCTCCTTGTACCCTTAAGTGACCAAGTAATTATTAGGCACACATGTTATGAAATTGCAATGTTCAGCTGAGTCATGGTCATTATCATGATTTACCTGTGTCACTTAGCACATAATTTTAGAATTTTTCATTCCATATTAGTCAGGGTTGTCCAGAGTAACAGAATGAATACCACATATAGGCTTCACATAAATGAAAAAGGTTAATTATCAGAAATTGGCTAATGTGATTGTGGCATCTGAATAGTTCCTGGCCCTGCTGTTTGCAAATGAAGACCCAAAAAATCTGGTACTGAAATTTAGTCCAAGCTCAAAAGTTTGAGACCCAGGGTAGTTAATGGTGTTAGTCCTAGGAAACCTATATCCCAAACCAAGCAGGCAGGTAGAAAGCAGAAGGAAGCCCTGCCCCTTTTTCCTTCCGCCTGTTTGTGCTGCTTATGCCCTCAATTTATTTTAATGAGTCCAAAGATCCAAATACTAATCTCATCTCTAAACAACACTGAGAAATAATGTTATATCTAATCAACCAGTGGCCATTCATGTTGACTCATAAAGTTATTTTTGACATTTATATTCCTGGTTCATTTTTAATATGTGAAGACTACAAAGATTGTGTTAAATAATATTAGATGACATTACTCAACAAATGCCACTTAATGAAGTTTGATCTTTGCCCTCCATTTAGAAAAAAGGTCATCTAGTCCTTTGAATCCAGGTTCTGACAGTCAGCATCAGGTGCCACCACTCTGTGACAGTGCATCTGGCTGACCACCTGAGGACATTTCAGATGTGGGCAGCCCTTCCCTCTCACTTGGCTGACAGGACACAGACTCACTTAGCTTAGCTACAAGATCCAGGACAGGAGGGAGCTTCCAGGATCACTGCCTCTGGGGAGCCTTAAGTGAGGGTCCTCACTGTGATAAAGGAGGAAGTTCTTTTCCTCCTCCTGACATGTCATTTGTAAGGGAACAAAATGGGGTTAATGTGGGTGAAATTGCACAGCTCAGAGAAGCCTACCTCCGCAAAAGATGAATTACTTTGTTTCCCTCTGCTCTCTGAGCAGTCCCTGGAGGCTGGTCGCCCACCCAAAACTGTATATCCCATTGCTTCAGACCATGGGGCATCGAAATGCACCCTCTTCCACATAGCCACTGGAGCCTGGTGCTCTAGGGTCAAACTGTATGATGGCTGACAAGGCCCAATGATTTGGATGGGGGCTTGGGGGCAGAAGGCACTCCAGTAGAGTTGGAGTGGTGGGGCAGTGGTAATCACCCTAAGATTGTATATTTGTTCATGGCCCATCCCTGATTTGTACACAATTGGTGACATTTATTCCTCCTCTTCTTATTCTGCACCCCTTTAACCTTTCCCATCAGGCTGAAATATATGAGCAAGAGGAACCTTGGATACCAGAACAGGTAGGAGCAGGGGAGCAGCTGCAATGGCTTCAGGAGTCCTGCTGAACATAACGGAGGAGGCAACCTGCCCCATCTGCCTGGATCTCCTGAAAACACCCATGTGTCTGGACTGTGGGCACAGCTTCTGCCAAGCCTGCATCACTACCAACAACAGATTGTCCATGATGGGCCAGGAAGGAGAGAGCCACTGCCCAGTGTGCAGACTAAGTTACCAGCCTGGGAATCTGCGCCCTAATGTGCATTTGTCCAATATAGTGGAGAGGCTTAGGAAGGTCAAGTGTAGCCCAGAAAAGGACCAAAAGAGAGATCTCTGTGTGCGCCATGGAGAGAAACTCCTGCTGTTCTGTAAGGAGGAAGAGAAGATCATTTGCTGGCTTTGCGAGCGGTCTCAAGAGCACCGTGGTCACCACACATTCCTCATGGAGGAGGTTGCCCAGGAGTACAAGGTAACAGACCAGGATTCAGGAAAGACAGGGCCCAAAATAGTACTTGATGTGAAAGCTGCACTTTGCATTTGACTCTCATTACCTTGCCACCATATCCCGAGGCCTGTGATCACTTTTATTTCTATGCTCAGGTTCCAAGGTCTGAAGGATATTTCTGATGAGCAGACTCTAAATCAAAAGTACATATTTTTATACCTTGTCCTAATAGGTAGAGGTTTGGTGCCCAAGTAAAGTTGTCATTTTCCCTTTGGACAGCAGGGGTAACAAGGCTACTGGGGGGATCAAGACCTAAGTTCTTTCTTTACCACAAGATCAAGTTTCTTCTTCCAGGACATAGAGAATGATGAGTCTTTTCTTGACATGGGAATGGTGACTTCTATCATCTGAATCTTAAAGAGCATATTCACCACACTAGGTTTCCTTCAAATCACAGATTGTAATTGCTAGTTCACCATTTCTGTAAACTCTAGACTCTTTAGAGATCAACCTGATTTCCTCCCCATGTATCCTCTCTTCTGAAGCCGAGAAAGCCAATACTTTGACCTCAGTGCAATTCCTCTCTCACAGGAGTACCTCCAGGAAGGCCTTAAATCACTGAAGGCGGAACAGCAGAAAGCTGAGCAAATGGGAGCCGACCTCGAAAAACAGAGAACTTCCTGGAGGGTAGGAGAAGACACTTCCAAAGAAAGTCACACAGGAATCTGGGCAGGACCTGGGTTGTTAGTCACAAGGAGCTCCTTTCCTTCTTTTTTCTTGATGGTTGATATATCCAGTTTCATTAATTAGCCATTCTTTATTCTTCCCATGATAGGGGTGGGGCTTGCATTGAACATGTCACAAAGTAACAGAGATATCTGTAGGTTGGTTATTCTCATTGAGAGACACTGTGGTGAGGACGGCTAGTGCATTCTGTATTCATTTCTGTCATTACTTTATGCCTGTAACTCTTGCAGGGAAAGACAATTGCCCATGGCTCATGGCTCTGTCTCTGGTGCTCAACATTAGGAAGAGGGTGAGGATGGGGGACAGGAGTAATAGAGGGAGGCATGACTGTCCTGGGCAGCTCTGTGAAATCTGAGACACACCCAGGTGGCCTTATTTGGTTCTGACTAGCCTCATTAATGTTGAACTGAAGACATTATTTTGGAATGTGATGGAGATGAAATAATAGGAAATATCAGCCTCCACGAGAATTCCTTCCTTGCTTCCATCTCCTTTTCCTCTGAGAACATCCGAATCAAATACTTCTATTTTTGTCCCCAGCCTCTGCCTGATGCCTGACTCCCTCTCTCTTTTTCTCATTCTTAAAGGATCTAATAGAAAATGATAGGCAAAGTATCCAGGATTCTTTTAAAAAACTGAGAGAATTCGTGGACAGTGAGGAGCAGAAGATGCTGAAAATGCTGAAGGAGGAGGAGACAGATGTTCTCAATGACTTGGCTCAGACTGAGTGTGAGCTGGTCCAGCAGAGCCAGTTGTTGAAAAATCTCATCTCAGATCTGGAAAATCGGCTGCAGGGGTCAACACTAGAGATGATGCAGGTAAGACTCGGGAATAAGCCCCAGTATGTGAACTTGAGGAAAATAAAGACTAAGTTTCCTCTTCTGCTATGTGGCTGTGTTTTTTCTGGTGATGATACTGAAGTTCCTTTGGACTTGCAGTAACCCTTCCCTGCATCTATTTCAGAGGTTCTAGAAATAATTAAATGCATGAATAGCTAGCGAAAATCTAATTTTATTAATGTATCAACTACAGTGCAAAAGTGACTCTGGGGAGAAGATCCATTGTGTCCAAATATATTCAGTAGGCCCTATATCACTTGATCTAATCTAATTTTTTTTTTTTTTTTTTTGCATATACCTCTTCAAGATCCTAGGTGTTCTTTTTTTGTTTGTTTTTTAATGGAATGAGTTGAGATTTTTCTTTACTTTCTAAATTTTATGAATAAACAATTGTGAAGAATTATTATTATTTATTCTTTAATTATTCAATAGATTCACTAGTGAAGCCATCTCACTCTTATGATTTTTGGTGGGGAGAGATGGGAAGGTTCAAAATATTGTATTACTTATATTAAGTTTTCTTTTTTTTTTAATGTTTCTTGAGTCAGTGTTTGATGATTTATGTCTTTGTAGAAATTTATCCATTCTAAGCTGTCAAATTTGTAAACATGTAATTAGTCATAATTTCTTAGAGTCTCTCATTTCTACAGTATTTACAGTAATGACCCATTTTTATTCCTGATTTTATTGATTTTGAGGGGTCAATTTAGTTACATTTGGTTAATTTTGTTGATGCTTTTCAAGAATAACCTTTATTGCTTTATTTATTTATTTACTTTTAACCTTTCTATATCATAGATTTCTGCTCTGACTTCTATAGTTTGCTTCATGTATATGTATAAATGCACTTGCCTGCATGATTTTGCTGTCTCTGTTGTGTTTAACTTACTGTTCTTTTTCCTTTCCTGAAAGTGATATTTTTGCCACTAGTCTGACATAATGTCTCTTGTTACAGTTTTTAATGATATAAATGTATTGTTTTAGCTATATTCTTTACTATTGGATTATTTACTTGTTCTTTTGATTCAATACAACTTATTTTCAAATTTTGTTTGGTACTTTCATCTTAACCATTGAAATATTTGAAACTGTGTTTTCTAATTTACAGACATGGTGATTTTTACTTTTTCTTCTGCTGCATATTTCAAATTTAACTCCTTTCTTATCAGAAAGCATATCTTTGATTATTTCAATCTTTTAAATGTATTGACAGTTCCCTTATGGTCTAAAATACAATATGTATATTTTTTATATGAAATTGAAAATAATGTGTATTGTGTATTCATAGTGAAAGAGTCCATACATGCCAGTTAGGTTGAGCTAGTTTATCATGCTGGTCACCTCTTCTATACCATGATGGTTTTCTTATTTATATTATTTATTTGTTGTTCTTTCTTTAAAGTATCTTTCATATTTATTGTATTACTGGTTTGGTGGTAAGAATCTCATTTAGCTTTTTCTTTTTGGGATGCTCTTTCTGTCTCCTTCAATTCTAAACACTAGCCTTGCTAGGTAGAGTCATCTAGATTGTAGGTCCTTGATTTTTGTAACTGAGTATTTCATTGCACTCCCTTCTGCCTGCAAAGTTTCCTTTGAGAAATCAGCTGATAATCTTATGGGAGCCTCCATGTAGGTAACTAACTGCTGTTGCTTTGCTGCTTTTAAGATTCTCTCTTGGTATTCTTTATTTATCACTGGGTCTTTCTATGCTATCTCCCTTTTTATGGTTCGTGTCTCTTTGCGGAAGTTTGCGGGGAGATTATCTATTCATTCTCTAAGTTCACTGACCATCTTTACAATGAGTGTTTAGAATTCTTCATGTGGGAGATTCTTTGCCTCCATTTTTATTAGTCAGTTTTCTGAAATTTTGTCCTTATATTTCATTTGGGACATGTTTCTTTATCTTCTTATTTTGGCTGCCTTTTTATGTTTATTTCTATATATTTGTATTATCTGCTGCATCTCTTTCTTGGCAGAGAGGCCTTATGTAGTGTGTGTCCCTTGGGGCCTGGAGGTGCAGTTTCTGCGTTCATCGTAACCATGTTCTGTAGGGGTGTACACTGTATGTGTTGTCTGTGCTCTCTTGTTATAGTTGAGCCTTGATTGCTGTAGGCACATCGGTGGGGAAGATAGCCCTCCAACTGAGTGGCTATCCCATTTCTTAATCTCCACACATGGGTGTGTTGCAAGCCAGTTTTATCTCCACCCTCCCACCAGTCTTCATATCCTTAGATAAAGGAGTTGTCTTCAGTTTATCATCATGTGGGTCTCAAGGGTGATTTCTCTATAATGTAGTTATAATGTTGATGTATTGAGAGGAAACATGCACAGTGTTTCCCTAGTCCACTATTTTATCTAAGATTCTCTTTTTTACTTTTGAAATATCTGTGTCTTTGAATCCAAAAGATGCCATTTGTAGATAGCAGAAATTGAAATTACTTTTATTCTAGTCCACCAATCTCTGTCTTTTAATTGGTGAATTAAGACTATAACATTTAGTGCAATTGTCAATGTAGTTATATTTAATTTACATTGTGTTATGAGCTTCTTATGTCACCTGCAATTATCATTGTTGTCTTTGTCATTGTACATCTTCTTTTCAGTTGAACAGATGTTTCCAGTAAAAAATGTTGTTTTAATATGTTTTATTTTTGTGGTGGTGGCTCAACTTAGAAATTGCATCCTATTTTATTATGATCTATGACAGATTAATATGAAATTAATTTCAGTAAAGTATGTATACTTGCCTCCAATATTGCTTGACTCATTGATACTTTTAATATATGGGCACTTGTTCTAATGTGGACCAACACTATGCAGGCCTTAGAATATTTTATATAACTGGGAAGACCACTTACCTTTTTGTGGGAAAATTTATATGAGAGATACTTGTTTATTTCTATGAACTGAGGATAAAATTAACACAGTGGGCGTATAAAGAATTTGGAGAATGACATAGACTAGATCCTGATGATGGTGTTTGAGCTTCAGAATTATGCTTTCATTAAAGTTACAGTTCACAAAATTCCTTTTCTCTACTTCATCTAGTTTTAATTTTGTGTGTGTGTCTGAGAGATACCAAAACAAGGTCCAAATACATAAGAGCAAAACAATTTTTTGTTGTTTTGCTTTTGCATCCTTGGACCTAGCAGTTGGCCTAGTTTTCTGTGCCATGCAAAAAATCTGAGACAAAGGAGATGAAAGATATTTGTGCGTATCTGTTCAACAAAATATACCTATGATGATAAAGAAGTTCCGATAACTAAAAACAGTTAACCAAATGGACTAAACTATTTTGTTAGACATTAATATCCAGTAAATGTTGTACTGTTTAGAACAACTGAGTGGATACTTGTGACATGGACAATGGTGTTAAAAGAGGAGGTAATTTGCTTCCTGAATAGTAAGTTCTATAGTAAACATCCTAAGTTACTGGTTCTTGTGGTTTCTTTACTTGGGATTATATAAACGTACATTTAAGAAACAAAATTGAGTAAAAATAAGTTCTTAGAAATAAATTACACATACATGCATGCTGAATTTAAGGGTGTGGATAAGATCAATGAGAGATAGTAGGTGAAACAAGAAGCAAGATATGAGAAACACTGACATTAGTATATTTATTAGTTTGTACCCTCAGCAGAAGCCATGTAAACTGCTTGAGGAAAGCTATAACTACTGATCTTTGATTTTCCCAATTAGGGCATAATGCTGCTCAAGTAACAGTACACCACTTCACATGTGTATTGATAAATGAAAAAACCATGAGTTCTTCAAATAATCTCATGAGGCACCTTGTGAACATGGTGAAAATATCATGGACCTCATGCTTTTCTCCTAAATATGTCTCATCTCCAGGTACTGGAAGCTCAAGCCATACTTCCACAGGGGTCAAAGTTGTTTCTATATTTCAGTAACCCTACAACTCGACATGACTCTTCTGAAATGATTGACCTGTGTCTTGTCTTTACTATCCACTCTCACGTTAGGACCATCTCTATTTCCTCCAGATCAGGGTGTTTGTGGAGATGTGATGAAGCTTAATCAGTGAGGAGAACTTATTCTTGACTCATGTTTTCTCTTTCCTCCCTAGGATGTGAATAGCATCATGAAAAGGTAGGTGTGGAAGACCAGAGATGTTCTTTTTTGTGCTGTGAAAAGAGGCTTAAATTGTTTAATGTTATCTGGTGGTTAATTAGAGCAAACTATTGTTCAAGGCAGATAAATTAAGAAGTAGTTTTATCTTAAATTTCTGTTCACCTATCATGATTTGAGTGTTCTATAACAATCGAGAAGGAACCAGATTCAATGGTAGGGAATTTACTTTGGGAAAAGTTGAAGACTTTGGGTTACTAGCAGTTAAGGATAATATATTGCAATATCAGACCTATGTGACTTCATAAATTTTATTCACTCAGTGTGCCTGTATTTTACTCAGATTTCTGCATTTCATAGGTGATTGAATTATCATGGGAATGTCATGTCATCTTTGCCTCATAAGCACCCAGATTTTGAGACAACTCTTTTATATTTAAGGTCCTTCTCTGGCAATAGAAGGGATAAGGTCGTTCTGTGCGGTTCTCATTATTTACCCAAAACAGACTTGAATATCAAAGATTATCTTGACCCTTCTGTAAACAACTGATCCATCTTGATCGCATACTTTTGAGGCCAGAATGGAAGGGCATCATCTTTGTGTCTAAATTTGCTCCCCTACGTGACTACATCAGTCTCTTCCAAGCATATGACATTCTGACCACTATTAGTATAGTCTTTATAATGTCATGTTTTCCAAGTGTTATATTTTTTCCCCAGAGTAAATCTTGGATATTGTTCTGGGTGCCTCCCTTTCTGGGGAGTAGAATTTAAAGCTCTTGGTCCTACCCAGACAACATTACCACACTTGATATACATCAAACCACCGGAAGTCAGGTTCTGCAACCTCACTTTCTTGTCTTATTCCCGCTTATTTACATCCATGCCATGACTTTTCCTTGTATTAATTTATTTCAAGCTACTAAATTTGGCACGGTAAAGAAATCTACTAGTGCATATAATTTTATATGATTTTTAGAAATTAGAGAAAGAGAGGATAGTTATCATTTTGAAAGGAGTGAACTGTATTTCTGAGTGGTCAATGCTTTCCCACGTTCAAACAGCAGTTCACTGGGAAAGTGGATTAAGCACTTTTCTTCCGGCTACAAGGCCAGGGGTCCTAGAAACAAGACTCATGTGCTCATTGGGATGAATAGTAAAAAGCCATGGTTTTGGAGAGACAAAAAGTCAGAGGCATGGGGATCTTTTATTTTTTTGTCATCCTTAGGATTAAAACCTTCACTCTGATGAAGCCAAAAAATGTCTCCAAGATACAAGGAAGAGTATTCCAAGCTCCTGACCTGAACGGGATGCTGCAAGTCTTTCACGGTGAGGAATGCCAGAGCAAATGGGTGGGCTTTGAGATTCTTGTTATGTGTGGGTTGAACAGGGAGGAGGGTTCAGTTTCTGGGTGTGGACAGAGGAGACAAAGAAGGATGGATATCTCGTGCTGATGACACGGGCATATTCAATAGGGAATGACCAGCTGTCTTGTTCAGCTCTCATTCTTTTGTGTACTGCCTCACGTTGACCCCAGTCTTTCCCTGCTTTGGAGAGAAAATAGATTTTAATGTAGACTTTTGTGCCTATATTTAATATTATGGAATTTTTCATTTCAGGACTGACAGATGCGCAACGTTACTGGGGTAAGGAGAAATCACAGTATTATGAAGCCACCCTGTCCTCATCTTTCAGAATTTTGCATTTTCTACTAGGTCTCATGTGTTCAGACCCATGTTTTCCACCCCAGTATACACATACATATTATACTCCTGCAGCATTTTACTGCTCCTCAAGGACCAAACTAAGTTCTTCCCAATTTCCCACTCATTTCATTCTCAAAATTACTTATAATGTCATAAATGAAGGTACATCCTATTCCTTAACCAACCCTGTATTTTTTCTACAGTTCCTGTGACCCTGGATCCTTTCCTGCATAAATCAAATGTTATCATTTCTAAGGATCAGAGACAAGTGAGACCTGTTTTTTCTTCCAGAACACTTATTTTCCATCAGAGAAACCGTTATGAGGATTATGGTGTTCTGGGATCACCCCGTATTACATCAGGGAAACATTACTGGGACGTAGATGTGTCAGACAAATATGCCTGGGTTTTGGGAGTATATGGTGATAATTCCCCTGATGCTAATATGATGGGTTTTGTAAGACAAGGTAACTGTTATCAACATGTTTGCTCTCTATATCAACCTAAATATGGCTACTGGGTTATAGGGTTACAGAATCATTCCGAATATAAGGCTTTTGTGGATTCTGCCTCCTCCAATGCCTCAGCCTTAACCCTGTCCCTGACTGTTCCTCCCCAGCGTGTTGGGGTTTTCATAGACTACAATGCTGGCACTGTCTCATTTTTCAACATCTCTAACCATGGGTTTCTCATCTATAAATTCTCTTCCTGTTCCTTTCCTGAGAATATTTTTCCATATTTCAATCCTATGAAATGTGTTGCCCCCATGACACTGTGTTCTCCAAGGTCTTAAACCTCTTTCACCCTCACCCACTTCTATGTAGTGCCTCTTGCCTTGGCTACATTTAATGGACTGAGTTTATCTGTACCACTTTTACCATCTTTTGCTACCTTTTTTTTTTTCTAATTGAACACCCTTAGATCACCAATAGGGTGTACAATGTGACTCGTGTCATATTTTTTCCCAGTATCTTGTTTGAATTAGTAGGGAATCCTAATTCATCATTTTCTATAATCATAAAGAAAATGGCTATTGCCTCATTAAAAATAGAGACATGTATGGAGGTAGCATCTCTGCCAATTTTTACATCCGCCACCTTTGAGAAGATGAAGGAAAGCTTTTCAACAATGTTTGTGTATCATTGAAGAGCTGTATACAAGTCAGTCACTACAGAGTGAGTCCTTAGGGGTGTGTCTGTTTACGCATGATATTCCTTATTCATCAGGGAATGAAGGAGAAAATATTATAAGTAGTATCTTCTAACATTGTAAACTTTGTGTCCTCATTTGTCTGAGTTCATGTCCAATCTCTCCAAATATGCACAGTGAACCTTGAATAAAATACCTTAATTTTGATTTTGTTTTATTTTTTTTAACAATCCTGGTAATAAAACCACACCATCGTGAGGATCACTATGAAAAAAATGTCATTAAGTGTATAACTTGTAACTGTCTCAACAGAATAAACGTTTTCTCTACTAATTTCTGAGAAATAGAAGCTGTGTCAATGTCTCATGAAGCAGGTTGTGTCTTCAGGGTACTAGAGGTTTTTACTGAAGTCTCATGTTTCAGAACCCTGATCCCTCTGAGCTGCTGTCTAGACCACTCCTGCTCTGCCAGTGATAGATAAGGGTGAGTGTGTGTGCATGTGTGTGTGTGTGTGACAGTGAGAATCATTTCAATTCTTGTGTTACTTACTGTGAGTCCTAATGAAATAAACTAAACTTTAGAGGATTCAGTTTCACATTTGTAAAAAATATGAAATATACTTAATGTATTATTGTGAAAATCAACACAATGTTTTCATTTCTTATACTTTCTATTGAACTTTTAGAGGAAAGGAGAGAGATTTAGAAACATCAATGTGAGAGAAACATTAATCAGCTGCCTCCTGCATGCCCCCTACTGGGGGCACTGGGACCTCCCATCCACACTCAGTCCACTGAGCCACATGGCCGGGCTAACAGAACGTTTTTATTTTTTAAATTTATTTTTTATTTCATAATTTTTTAAAATATGTTTTTATTGATTTTTTTTTAGAGAGAGAGGAAGGGAGAAAGAGAAACATCAATGAGAGAAAGCTACATCCATCAGCGCCCTACTGGGGATCGAGCCAGCAACCCAGGCATGTGCCCTGACAGGGAATCAAATGTACTTGCTGTGAATTACTAGCAATAATCCTCAGTGACTGACAAATCAACTCCAGGGACATTTTTCTTTGGTTACTGCAATGCCAGTCCTCCAATTTAGGATTAACTCCCTAGCTACAAGGAAAAAGAGACCTGAACTTTTAGAGACAAAGTATTTTTTAGTTCCATGGCACCACCAATGTCAAGAATACTCAAGCTCTGCATCTAGTAAATACCCCCCCCACACACACACACACGCACCACATACGTATTCACAGGAATTATTTGCTTTCAGTTGCTTTCTCCTTATTGGTCTCACTCCTTCTAGCAGGCTGACAGACTATGGCAGTCTTCAGGATGGAAGATAAGCCTGTTCCTCCTGCCACCCCAGTGGGAGGGAGCAGAGTTGAATCTGCACTGGATGTTCATGCAGGCCTTGGTGGGACCCCATATCCAGTCTTCAGAAACAGTCGATTTATTGTTCTGAGTAAACTGTATAAGTAGATTTACTGGTTTTAGGGTCAGTGTATTTTATGCCATTACAAACAGCCAGATTTTTTTCAAGTGTCCAGTTTTCATTCTCACACTTGAGAAAGAACAGGATGATTGGGCATCTGGTGGTAAGTGCAAAGATATACTGTAGAGTGATTTCTGATATAATCTATATTTAATCTACAAGTGTTGTTGACAATTGAAGGGAGGTGGAGAGCCCCCCATGTGGAATGTTTTTCTGTGGAGTGCACAGCAAAGAATAGGATGTGTGCCCCCACAAATCACATGGTCGTTGCTTTACTGCTGCCTCCCTTTGCATCTGTTCTGAGCCACATTTGGCGCCCCAGTGAACTAATGTGTTCGCTCCAGACTCTGTATGAGATGTTCCTATGAAAGATGCTTTTGGAATGAGAAGAAACATATTTTTTTGTTGTTAATAAGTTTCTACACTGAAGTTGGCTCTTTACCAGGTGTTTCTCTTTAGCCCCCAAGAAAACCCTTTCTTTCAAAACTCAAACCACAACACCTAATATGCATTTTTTAGTAGTGGAGGTAGGGTCACTTTGGGCTGAAAAGCCTTGGACCCATCTATAATTTGAAAACACCAGATATAATGAGGACTTAATGTCTTTGAGCTTGTCTGTGAAGAGAGTATAAAAATGTTATCTGGAAAATATTGGAAAAAATCAGAAGCCCAGGAGAGGGTTGGAGGGCAAGGGGAGTGGTGCTGGTGTCCTGGGACCTCCTCTGAGACATTAGATTTAAGGTGGAGAGACCCCAGTGAGGAAATCAGAGCTGTTCAGGTAAAGGCAAGCATCAGCTAATAGGAAAAATGAATGAACCTTACTCCTTCGATCACCCAAAGGCCATATCCAGAGCTAACCATATTGCTGTGGTCAATATTCCATCATACGATGTTCTGAGGCCCAGGGAATAAGCCACCTTCTCAGTTCTCTGTGTTCCCTTCAGTCCCTACATCTCCTGATGGAGAGAAGTTCTGCCACTTTGGGCATCTTCTTTTTAACTGTTTAGGACTGAAAACAACAGAGGACACAGGAATCTGTGTGCTTAGAATGTGGTGGTGAAGGTAAACGACAGGACTGAGATATGTGTCTGAGGACATCTTAGCAACAAAACAAAATATGAGAAGAATTGTTCATTAAAATTTGTCAAGGAGTTTACACAAATGCTAATAACACCAGAATTTGACTATGACCATAGCAATTATGTTCACAGCAACACCACCAATAGAAAAGAACCATGATTATCATCAGCATGTTCAATGTAATTAAAATATCTCTAGCAATAAGAGTATGTCTATTTCAATGCCATTCCCATCTAATATATATAATATAATATATACATAGTATTTTGTAATATCTGACACAATAAGGAATGCCATAAAGAAGGTCCCTTTGCCTTTGTAATTCTTACTGTTGGGTGTAGGGCTGCATGAAGAAGGACACTCAATATAGTATTATCTTATGAGAAAGATGATAAAGCAAAAAACGCCAGCTCTCAGAATGTAATCCATGCAAAATTGGCATGCTTATCATTGCACTTTAAAGCACCACCAGTTTATTTGTTAGAAATAACTTCATTCACACCCTTGAAACTAAAACTGTCGACATGATTCAGCCATACGCCTATGTAAATTTCACTCCTACCTCAGAGACATGTGAAATCAAGAAGATTCCATGGGGCAAGGTTAGCGTACTCAACTGTGGGAAACAAGTAATACCAAATTATCTGCGCTTTAATTAGAAAATCATCAACGTTTCAGTCGCCCTCCCTGTCTCTTTAAGTTAATGGTGAAGATTGCCCAGCTCTGACACTTGTCTGTCAGGGATCCTTGTCTGGATCTTCGACCATCTTGTAGCTGCAGCTCGTGAAACATATTCTCAGAAGAAAAGATTGATAATAGGGCATGACAAACTGTACAGGAAATAGAAATGTTTCTCTTCTGATTTTGTAAATTAAACTTATTTGTAGTTTTTTTTTTTTAATTTTTATTATAGTACTATGTCATGCATAGGTTGTACTTTCTTTTAAATTTATTTTCAATTTTAATTTTAATACATTTATCAGTTCTGCTTTTGATTGATGGTGTAAAAAGGACCAAATGTTTCCCAAAGAAGGTAGGGAAGAGGACGGTTATGGAGGTGTGAGTGCCATCCTGAGAAAGACTCCACTAGAAGAGCACCACCTGTTAACCTCCATGCTCTTCCTGCCTCCTAGTTGCTGGTGCCATGTCAATGACACACCTGTATCACATTGGGTCTGGAAGGCTTCCTTCTCTGGCCTGTCTAGGTCAGGAACAAAAACTGGTAATTAACTGCTGGACCACAAAATTCAGTGGTGTTGTGGAAACATTTTTTAAAATTAATTAATTAATTTTATTTTATTACAGATGTTTCTCCTTTTCCCCCCATTGACACTCTCCTCCCACCCCCTCCCCACCTTGTTCCCAGCTTTGTTGTCCATGTCCATTGGTCATGCATACATGCACGTAAGTTCTGTGGTTTATTTCTCCCCGCCACCCCCTCTTGTGGAGATTGTCAGTCTAAATCCAACCTCCATGTCTCTGGGACTACCCTGTTCTTCAGACTGTTATGTTCATTATATTCCACAAATAAGTGAGATCATATGGTACTTGTCTTTCTCTGTTTGGCTTGTTTTGCTTAGGATAATACTTTCCAGGTCCCTTCATGTTATCTCAAAGGATAAGAGATCTTTCTTTCTTACAGCTGCATGGTACTCCATTGTGTATATGTTCCACAGCTTTTTTATCCATTCGTCTACTGATGGACATTTGCACTGTCTCCAGATCTTAGCTATTATAAATAGTCTTGCTACTAACATGGGGGTACATATATTCATTTCGGTTGTTGTTTTAGGGTTCTTAGGGTATATTCCTGGAAGTGGAATGACTGGGTTAAATGGCAGTTTAATTTTTAATTTTTTGAGGTAACACCATAATATTTTCCATAGTGGCTGCACCACACTGCATTCCCACCAGCAGTGAACTAGACTCCCCTTTTCTCCACACAACACTTGTTGTTTGATCATTTGTTGATGGCGGCCATTCTGACAGGTGTGAAGTGATACCTCATTTTTGTTTTAATTTGCATCTCTCTGATAAGTGATGTTGAGCATTTCTTTATATGCCTCTTAGCCATTTGTATGTCCTGTTTGGAGAAGTGTCTATTTAGGTCCTTTGCCCATTTTTTAATTGGGTTCTTTGTCTTCCTCTTGTTGAGTTATATGAACACTCTATATTTTGTAAATTAACCCCTTATCTGATATATCATTTGCAATTATGCTCTCCCATAGAGTGGGTTCCCTTTCCATTTTGACAGCTGTACCTTTTGCTATGCAGAAGCTTTTGTTTGATGTAGTCCCACATGTTCATTTTCTCCTTTGTTTCTGTTGCCTTAGGTGATGTATCAGTGAATATTCTGCTGCGTATGATGTCTGAAATTTTTTTTGCCTACATTTTCTTCTAGGATTGTTATGGATTCATGACTCACATTTAAGTCTTTTATCCATTTTGAGTATATTTTTCTGTATGGTGTAAGTTGATGATCTAGTTCTTCTTTTGCATGTAGCTGTCCAATTTTCCCAACACCATTTATTAAAGAGGCTATCTTTACTCCACTGTATGCTCTTGCCACCTTTGTCAAATGTTAATTGAGCATATTGTCTTGGGTCCATTTCTGAGTTCTCTATTCTGTTCTATTGATCTATCTGCCTGTTCTTGTGCCAGTGCCAGGCTATTTTGTTTAGAGTGGCTTTGTAGTATAACCTGAAATCTGGTAATGTGATCCATACTACTTTGTTCTTCTTTTTCAAGATTGCTGTGGCTATTCAGGGTCTTTTTTTTTTTGTTCTGTATGAGCTTTTGAAGTATTTATTCTAGTTCTGTGAAGTATGTCCTTGGTATTTTGATGGGGATTGCATTGAATCTATAAATTGCTTTGAGTAGCATGGACATTTTAATGATGTTAATTCTTCCAATCCTTAGCTAGACTCACCAAGAAACAAAGAGAGAGAACCCCAATACACAAAATCAGAAATAAAAGAGGAGAAAAAAATAACTGACATTACAGAAATACAAAGTATTGTTAAATATTATGAACCATTATACGGCAACAGATTCAACAATCTAAGCGAAATGGACAAATTTCTAGAAAAACATAGTCTCCCTAAACTGATCCAGGAAGAGATAAAAAACTTGAACAGAACAATAAAAACAAAAGAATTTGAAGATGTAATCAAGATTCTCCCAGAAAACAAAAAGCTAGGCCTGGATTGCTTCACCAGGGAATTTTACCGAACATTCAATGAAGAACTAATACCCATTCTCCTCAAACTTTTTCAAGAAATTCAAGAAGGATAACGTCCATACTCGTTTTATGAGACCAGCATAATTCTAATTCCAAAACTAGAGAAAGACACGACAAAGAAAGAAAACTACAAGACAATATCCCATTGATGGCAAAATCGTGAACAAAATACTACCAAAAGAAATCCAACAATACATCAAAAAATTATTCACCATGACCAAGTGGGCTGTATCTCAGCAATGCAAGTCTCGTACAATATTCTCAAATCAATAAATGTGATACACCACATAAACAAAATGAAAGATAAAAATCATATGATCATATCAATAGATGCTGAAAAACCATTCGATAAAGCCAGCACCAATTTCTGATAAAAGCACTCAGCAATTTGGGAATAAAGGGATTATATCTTGACATAATAAAGGCCATATATAGAAGACCTACAGCCAACATCATACTCAATGGGCAAAAACTAAGAGCATTTCCCTTAAAACAGGAACAAGACAAAAATGCCCACTTTCGCCACTCTTATTTAACATAGTACTAGAAATCCTAGCCACAGCAATCAGACAGGAAGAAAAAATAAAAGGGATACAAATTGTAAAGAAGGAAGTGAAACTGTCATTATTGGCAGATGACATGTTATTATACATAGAAAACCCCAAAGACTCCATCAAAAATTAATAGACTTAATAAATGAATTTGGCAAAGTAGCAGGATACAAAATTAACGTCAACAAATCGACGGCATTCTTATACACCAATGATGAACACACAGAAAGAGAAACTAAAAAAACAATCCCATTTACCGTTGCAGCAAAAAAATTAAGATAGCTAGGAATAAACTTAACCAAATAAATAAAGAACCTATTCACAGAAAACTACAGGAAACATTTTTTTCAATAGGTTCAAACATTTACTAAATAGTAGGTCTTTCAACTGCTGTTTAGAAAGTAGAATGTTTTACAAAATGTCAGTTTACCTTCCCAAATGGTAGCTGTTACCACTGAGTTATAATGAACTGAGTTCTACCACTGATTATCCTCCCATCACACTATGCTTTACTAAGGGCAGGGACCCAGACTTTCTGGATCATGATTTTATCCCTAGTAAGTATCGTGGGACATAAATACAAAATAAGCTTAAATAATACTTATAGAGTTCAATTAAATTGTGAGTGTTCAGGCAAGCTGTAGAATGTATCATTTTAATTAATACTCTGATTCAAATATTATTGCTGAAATAATCTACAAAAGGGATAAAAACATAGTGATTGAGTGCGGAGCTTGTTAGATTTTAGAACATACTGAAGCATCAACTTCCCCAAGTGCCCTCGGTGGTGACTTCCCGTTGGTGGTGTTCTTAAGGTTCTGTTCAGCTTCCTGTGTTTTATTTTCAGTCCTATGAACTTCACTTTCATTTCTCACTCGTCTCTGGTGGGGGAACTTCTCTGTGAAAAGCTGTTTTCTGTCTTGGTGAGTGAATCTTGACCAGACTTACACCTGATATTCTCCACTGAGTAAAGACTCGTGTACCTCTACTAAAAGTAAGTGGGCTGGTTTCTAAGGACAAGGACAGGAGGCTTTGAGGGAGCAGACTGATGTGTTTGGTGTCTCAAACTGGGGTTCTGCAGCTGCTCTCCTCGTAGGTGTCTCTTCTGGTGGCGGGAAAGAGGAACCCTGAGTCTGGGGAAAGAGTGATCCTTAAAGAAGGGAGGGTTAAAAGAGCAAAGAGTCTTACTTGTTTCTTGAATGGACCATTTTCTCTCTAGGTTGAGTTAACCTCATCGTTTTCCAATTCTGTAGTTTGAAATTTCTACCTTTTCATTGTGAGCCAGAATTCTCTCTCTCTCTTTTTTTTTTTTTTTTCCCTCACAAATGTAATAACCTGCTCCTATCACTTTGTCCTGATTAAATAAGCAAAAAGCCAACTATGAAGCTTTCAGAGGCAACCTGAGGAAGTACCAGCTGGCCTGATACTCCTCTAAATGAATGTGTCCTCTAAGCGAATTTGTTAGTTTTTAGAACTTAGATAATAGAATAAATAGCAGGATAGATGTATGCTGACCCAGTTCACCCAATTCCCTTTTGTCTCAGCTCCCTCCCACCTCTGTTCCTTCCTGCTTTTCGCTAACTGCCTCCACTTCTGTACCCGTAGCTCGCTTACTCTCCTAAACTCTCGAATAACCCCTGTCCTATGTAAGCAACCCTCCTCCTGAGCTTGGGGCTGCAGTTCTCCTCGGCGAAGGTTGGCTGCAGTCCCTGCGCAGCTAATAAAGCTCCTAATATTCAAAATTACTTTGTGTCCCAGTGAGGTTGATTCTCCTGGGTTACAACAACAAACAGAAAATCCCTTCCTCCTTTTCTCCAGGGAAGCCTGTGAGATGGAGCCCTGTTTTCCCTCTTCATTAAGCCCAACCTCCACCAGAGGGCCAGCAGAAGTGAGAGGCCTAATCTGGATGCTAGTGGGAGGGACTGGATCCTAGCAGCTCTGCCAGGGATCAGATCCTGTTGAAGCTGGTCCTTTTACTCTTTTGATAAATTTCCATTACTTTTTTTCTCCATATGTTGATTCTTTTGTTTAAACTTATATTTATTGGAAATGTATGACAAATGTCCCTCCTTTTCCCCCTATTGACCCCCTGCTCCCTGCTCATGCCCCTGTCTTGCCCCTACCCTGCCTTCCCCACTCTATTGCCTGTGTCCATTGGTTATACATATATATTTATAAGTTCTTTGGTTTATCACTTCCTGTGCCCCACCACACCTCCATTGCCTTTGAGGTTTGTCACTCTAACAACAAATTTGTACTTCTTAATTTCTTTACCTTTTCACCCATCCCCTCAAACTCTCCTATCTGGCAACAAACAAAAAGTTCTCTATATCTATGTGTCTATTTCTGTTCAGCTTGTTCATTTTGTTTGTAGATTCAATTGTTGATAGATATTCATTTATTGCCATTTCATAGTTCATATTTTTTATCTTCTTTTTTTTGTGTGAAGACCCTTTAACATTTCATATAGTACTGCTTTGGGCATGATGAACTCCTTTAGCTTTGTCTTGTCTGGGTAACTCTTTGTACGTCCCTCAATTCTAAATGATAGCTTTGCAGGATAGAATAATCTTGGTTGTAGATTCTTGCTTTTCCTCACTTTGACTATTTCTTTCAACTCCCTTGCGGCTACAAAGTTTCTTTGAGAAATTCTGCTGACAGTCTTATGGGAGCTTTCTTGAAGGTAACAGACTGCTTTTCTCTTGCTGCTTTTAAGATTCTCTCTTTGTCTTTAAACTTTTGCATTTTGCTGATGATGTGTCTTGGTGTTGGCCTCTGGGGGTTCATTTTGCTTGTGACTCTCTATGCTTCCTGGACTTGTATGTCTGTTTTCTTCACCAAGTTAGGGAAGTTCTCTGTCATTATTTTTTTAAATAACTTTTCAATTTTTTATTTTTCTTTTTATCTTCTCCCGAGGACATTTTTGCATTTATCTTCAGATAGAGTGGGAGGGAGAGAGGGAGGAAGAAAGAGAGACAATCATTGATGAGAGAGACACATTGACTGGCTACCATGCACACGACCACAACCAGGGCCAGGGACAAAGTGCAACCGAGGTAGGTACCCTTAGTGGGAACCAAACCCAGGTCTCTTTGGTCCCCGGGCCAACGCTCCAACCACCGAGCCAAACCAGCCAGGCCTAAATTTTCAATTTCTTGCTCTCTCTCTTTTCCCTCTGGTATAAACATTATATGAGTGTTGGTATGCTCTAAGTTGTCCCAGAGGTTCTTTACACTATCCTCATATTTTTGGATTCTTTTTTCGTTTTGCTGTTCTGATTGGGTGTTTTTTGCTTCATTATTTTCCAAATCGATGGTTTGCTTCTTGGATTTACCTACTCTACTATTGATTCCCTGTAAGTTATTCTTTATTTCAGTTAGTGCCTCCGGCATGTCTGACAGTCTTTCCTCCATTTCTGACCGGTCCTCTTTTATGCTCTTGAGGCCCTCACTAAGTTCATTAAGCATCCTCAAAACCAGTGCTTTATACTCTGCATCTGTTAGAATGCTTATCTCCAATTCATTTAGTTCTTTTCCTGGAGTTTTGTTCTGTTCTTTCGTTCTTTCATTAGGGATATGTTTCTTTGTCTTCTCATTTTGGTTGCCTTCCTCTGTTCGTCTCTATGTATTAGGTAGAGTTGCTATGTCTTCTAGGATTCCTAGGGTGGCCTATTATAGTAGGTGCCCTGTACAGTCCAGTGGCACAGCCTCCCTGTGCACCTTGAGGTGCACCCCTTAAGTGGACTGTACACCCTTCAGTTGTAATGGAGGCTTGTTGCTGTTGGCACATCAATGGGAGGAATTTACTCTGCCTGATTAGCTGCAAGGGCTGACTGTGCCCACTCACCACTAACTTCTGACCAAATGGGGGATCAGCTATGCAGGGGCCCACAACCCAGAGCAAGACTTACTTCAGCAGGGCTCTGGTACCCTCTGAGTCCACTACGTGAGTGTGTCATTTGTGGAAGTGGTTGGGTGATGGTGCTTCACTGTGGTCTGAAGCTGTCCACTGGGTGTGTTGGCTCGGGGTAAAGTCAACCACTGCTTGTGTTCTACCCAGGGCCACCAGGCATAAGCTACAAAGCAACCTGCAGATGGCTGCTTCTTTTGCTTAGTGTGGAGGTACCCAGGCAAAGCCAAGTTGTGAACCGAGGTTGGCTTCTCCTAGTGCCTCACCTGGAGTCACTTAGTGAGAGGTATGGGCTGACTGAGGACAGATACTACTTTTGTGAGAGAATTAATGAAAATTTGAAACAGGAGCCAAGTCAGGCCATTCCTATGGCAATGCAACTGGAAATTGCTTGGGTGAGCTTGAAATTTGGGTGGGGCAGAGCCTTACAGAATCATCAGGGTGGGGCAAATACTGTGATCCAGGTTGGTGCCTGTCTGCTGGCCCCATGAGGGAAGGGCTCATGCAAAGACCAAGGGCCTCTGAAAGCACCTCTGTCTAGGAGAAAGCTGCCCTACAGCTCTCACCCCAATGCCAAACGATTCAGTTCTTCCCTGTGTGTCTTTGGGTCCTTTCAAGATGCCTCTGCAATGCTGGAGCCTGGAGGTAGTGGGTCTGAGTAATCCGTGTTTGGATCCTTTAAGAGGAAATGCCTGCATGCTATCCCAGAATCATCAGCCTCCCTCAGCCTCAATTCCCTCTGGTTCTTACAGCCAGAAGTTAAGGGGACTTTTCTTCCTGGTACTGGAACCATGAGCTGGGGACCTTGTGTGGGGTGGGGACCACTCTCTCCTCAGGGAGGACTTTCATAGCTGAGGTATCCCTCCTGATTTTTTCTGCCACCCCTGAGTGTGGCACCAGCCCATCCTCTCCTCCATTCCTCCTATCAGTCTCCATGTGGCTTCATTTTTCATTTCTTAGTTGAGTAATTTCCACTCAGCTCGATTTTAAGTGGTTCTTAATGATGGTTGTTCTGTAGTTTAGTTGTAATTTTGATGTCCAAAAGTTGATTCTTAAATGCAATAAACTGCAGACAACATTTTTTTGTTTTTTGAGGTGGAATAACTAGATTAAAAAACCCCATCATTTTGAATCTCACCTTTTCGAACAATAAATATATATATTTAAAAATTTTAAAATATCCTCACCCAAGGATATTTTTCTATTTATCTTCAGATAGAGTGGGAGGGCAAGTGAGGCAGAGAAAGAAAGAGAGAGAGAAACATCGAAATGAGAAAGACACTTTGACTGGTTACCTCCAGCACAACCCTGATCAGGGCCAGGGATGAAAGGCAATTGAGGTACATGCCCTTGTCCAGAGTCTAACCAGTGATTCATTGGTCTGCAGGCCGACACTGACCACTGAGCCATAGTGGCCAGAGAACACCTAGGGTTTTAGTATGAAATTCTAGGTTTCAATTTATTTTCTCTATACTCTCTTTGAAATTGCTACTTAACAGTGTGTTATTAATCACATTGTATTATTTTTATTGTGCTAAAATACTTAATCTGAGATCAAACCTCTTAAAATTTTAAGGCATTGCAGTTAAGCAGGTTTAAACATTCAGTTTTGCAACATGAATAAATTCTAGAGATATACTGTAGAACCTTCTGCCCATAGTTAACTATTATCCATTGTGCAGTTAGTAGTCATTTCTTTGTGATTACTAAAACTTAAAAAAAGTTTTACTTTTTTTGTACCTACCTACTCTTTTGCTTTAAGTACTGGAATAGCTTTTTTTTTTTTTTTTTTTTTACTTTCTTTCTTTCTTTCTTTCTTCCTTCCTTCCTTCCTTCCTTCCTTCCTTCCTTCCTTCCTTCCTTCCTTTCTTTCTTTCTTTCTTTCTTTCTTTCTTTCTTTCTTTCTTTCTTTCTTTCTTTCTTTTATGAATTTTTATTTATTTTTTGTTACAGATATTTTACCTTTTTACCCCATTGGCACCCCCCACCCCACCCCACCTCCGCCCCGTCCCCG